GGTTGGGTTCTAGTGAGGGCTCTGTTCCTGGCTTCAGAAAGCTGCCTTCTTACTGTGCATTCATACGGCCTTTCCTTGGTGCCTGTGCACAGAGAAAGAGAGATTTCTCTTTTTCTCTTCTTACAAGGCTATGCATGAATTCTATCAAATTAGGACTCCACCTTTATGACTTCATTTAACCCAGTTACCTCCTAAAAGCCCTATCTCCAAATACAGTCACATTGGGGGCTAAGACTTCAACATACAAATTTTGGGGGGACACAATTCAACACATAGCAGTATCCTTCATCTTTCAAGGTAAAGAGATATTCAAAGATTTAGAGACTACATCATCAATATCCCATCTGAAGGAAACACTAAGTGAATCAGAAGAGAACATAGAACATAAAATGAAGAAAGATGAAGAGGAGGAGAAACAGTGATGTGTAAGAAATCTTATACTACACACAGTTTAAATCTAAATAGATAATAATACTGTGACTAGCGATTTGCAAATATTTAAGTCACAAATAAGTATTCTTGAGAGAGAAGAAATATGTTTCAAAGGAAAACCAACTAAAAGAACTGAAATCACTAAAAGTCCTCAACAAGCTCAGCAAAATTGAAATAAGTTTCTAGGGGAGGGAAGAGAGAGGAAAGTAAAAACATTTCAAAAATTCTCATTTGATGGGAGAGTGGTCTTAAACTTGAGAATTTCAAATTTTGTTTGGCTTCTTCCAACTTTTTGTGAACACACTTTACAAGACCAATACAAGCTATAATTTACTGTCAACATAAAAAATGTTATTTACATAGCCCACGTCACATAGGGATGGCTAGCCAGTGCCCTTCATGTTACCTCACAGCAATGCAGAGGAGATTTGTTCTACTATAAAGCAGTTGGGAGCAGATGTCCCATGTGGGACCAGTTTCTTTCTGTTTACCATACCCAAAACTCCTATCTGAAGAGTCTATTTCTTGTTGTCTCCAGTTAGCTGCCCTACCACATATACAATCCTAGGACACTCTGATATTGTAATATTTAATATCCCCTTGGACATCATAAAATATGTGCTAATGATTATTTTTATCTATTAACAAAATCAGTAAATCTCACCAATGTAAGTAATGCACACAAATTACAGGGATAATAATTTCAGACATCTTGAAATTGTTCCCAAGAGTACAAAACACTTGTTTTCTTCTTTTTAAAGAGAACAGGAAGGGATAAATTGAGAGTTGACTACAGAATACAGCCGTATTAGAGATGCAGTTAATAATGTGGATAATTTGCCCAAACAATATCAATACATAATCTAAAACCAAATTATTTTGAGTTTCTTAGTATATTTATGCTTTGTAAAATCTACCAATCTAGCAAGAAAGAAAAGGTGAACCAAGGTAATAATTCTGAAATCACACAGTACAGAAGAACGATAATGTTTGAAAAGTGCATTTGGTGCTTGAAAAAGAAATATAATAGAACTCTTTGTCCACAATTTTACTTGCTAATATTAAGTAGGCATGAGTATAAACAGTATGTGCTATGGACTGAACTTGGTCTTTCCCAAATTCAAATGTTGAAGCCCTAACCCGCAGTGTGATGGTATTTGGAGATGGGGTCTTTGGGAGATGCTTGCATTTAGATGAGGTCAGGAGGGAAGGGCCCTCCTGATGGATTAGTGCCTTTATGAGAAGCGACATCAAAGAATTTACACCCTCTTTCTCCCTCTCCCCCTTTCCATGCACATGCACTGAGCAAAGGCCATGTGAGCACATAGCTAGAAGCAGCCATCTATGTTCAAGCCAGGAGGAGAGCTCTCACCAGAACCCAACCATGCTGGCACCCTGATCTTGGACTGCCAGCCTTCAGGACCGTAAAAAAAAAAAAATTTCTGTTGTTTAAGCCACCCAGTCTATAGTATTTTGTTATAGCAGCCCTAGCAGCCTAAAACAGCATAAAAATGGCTATTTATGTAAATAGTCAAAAGAGGGGTCCATCCCTTCTGCAGAACTTTTGTTTTTTACTGGGTATCAACAAGTAAATGTTTATCTTATAACATACACTTTCATTGGGGACTAGAATTTAATCTACTATCCCTAAAGTAGTGGTTCTCAATTGGGGGCAGTTTGCCCCCAAGGACATTCGGCAATGCCTGGAGGGTGCTATTGGCATCTAGAGGGGAGAGGCCAGGGATGCTGCTAAACATCCTACAATGCACAGGACAGCCACTTAAAACAAAGAATAATCTGGCCCAAAATGGCAATAGTGCTGTTGTTGAGAAACTACGATCTAAGATAAAGAAATAACCAAAAACTTGCATTTAAAAACATCTATTTTGCCCCAAACCCACAGTGCCCTTGACTAACTTTTTTAAAACTCATAAAACTATCAAAATAAGGCTAAATAAGTAAACAAATAATTGTAAAAAATAAAGCTTTCCTAATTATTGAGTATAAATCTTTTCTTGGTATAATTACATCTAAATTTGTTTTATAATACATGCATGTAGGTAAATTTGCTTATGATAATAGCAGTGGTCAAGAAATGAGAAACCTATGATAAACAATAAAAACTAAACTAGTTCTGGAGTTGGCCCGGTGGCACAATGGTTAAGTTCGTACATTCTGCTTCAGTGGCCTGGGGTTCACAGGTTCAGATCCTGGGTGTGAACTGGTACCCCACTCATCAAGCCATGCTGTGGCAGCATCCCACATACAAAATAGAGAAGGACTGGCATGGATGTTAGCTCAGGGACAATATTCCTCAAGCAAAAAGTTCTAAATTATTACTGATTATGAATCTGTATTATAATAGGGTTCAGCTAAACTGGTTTCTAAAATATTGTGAAATTTTCAAATTTAGGTAGGTAAAGTATAATGTTTAACCTCCACCTTGTCAAAATGTCATCATGATCAGGATCAGAAGTACTAGTACTTAATTTTCAATGGATTCAAGTGGTTTGTATCACTTTTATGTGGTTCCCACCCTTCCTCCATGTTCCAAATCCAGTTTTAATAATGCCTTTTTCTTTTTAACAATATTTCTTCTTCCTTAAATTCTTAAATCATCACTTACACACTTTCCTCTTTAACTACAGTCCTCTTTAATAAAACAGACTATATTTTCAAATGTTAACATTTTCCTTTGTTGAAATATTCAAGATGATTATGCAAACTACATAGCACAAAAATTAAAATAGTACTTCGATTGTTACCTGGGAAATTTTAGAGGCTAAGTAGTCAATTTGGGTAATTCAAGTTTAAAAGAAAAAAAAAACTCGTGCTTCATTTTACTGAATCAGCCAACAGAGGACTTTTTCTTGGAGGGAGACATGCTAAATTACTTTAATTATAGCTATGTAATATTGGCTCTGAAAGTAATCATTTTCCTTCTCATTTCATTCAACAAATGAAGGTCTGATTTCTTGTATATGCTATGTTTTACATCTGATCACAACCAATGTTGAGGGGAAAAAAATGAATACTCTGAGTTAATTATCCAAAATAAGCATTCTCTGACAAAATGAATGATAGAGTCTCTGCTATGTTAAAACCGATGAATCTATGCAGCCATTATGTAGCCATTATGCAGCCATATATGTAGATAAGAAATATCTACATATGATTTGTATTGAACTCAAAGATATTTTTGTATGCTAAACAAAGCTTGATTACACTATATACAGGGTTACATTAAATATACAAATGTTTTCCTTATGTAATATGTAAAATTTATATTGTAAATCACTTATATTTACAAAAGGTTACTCCCAGTTATGTAAGACATGTTCTTTTTGTCTAATACTATTACTATTTTAAGTACAGGTTTATGGGTTTTCTCTTTTTTTTTTTTTGTAGACTACATTGTGTTCACCACCCAAAGTGTAACTGCCATCCATTTGATGGGTTTTCTAAAGCCACAATAACATGCTTATGGGACCAACAATCATCAACAACCCAACAGTCTAAATAGAAGTCAAATTTCATTAAAAACACTATCAGCTGTCACGAATCAAAATATGCTCCAAATTTGTCTGCTGTCTCACTAACATGTTAAGAGTTCTCAGAAGCTTGATGGTCTATAAAATCTGTTTTATCCATATAATTGTATTTAATAATTACTTAATATATCATTTGTTAATGTAGGATTTATTTTTTGATCTTGATAGTGAGTCAGGGCCTCTTGTATAGTATTTCTTCATTTTACGGGTATTGTTAAGAACACTTGATGAATTAAAATTCCTTTCTCTTTCTTTTCTTTTTCATTCTTGTTTTAGAAAACTATCATTTTTTTATTTATATCCAGAGCGAATGTGTTTTATTGCAAAGTACTGCTCATATACATACATAAATTGAAAACACATACTTAGAAAAAGTAGGGCCCACTGCTATTCCTGTTAACTGCCAAACATGTTTGTTATGAAAGTAGGATTTATTACATTTTTAATGTCACATTAAAAAACACCCCAGAAACATGAACTATACCCATTTCACATTTTTGGGTTTTTTTTTTTTTTTTTAACATATTTGGGATTTATATAATATTTCTACATTAACAAAAAATCTCATTAGGTTAACACATTTTCTGTAACTTGATGAAAATAAAAAGTAAAATCTGTTTTTGTTTGTAAGATTATTCACTACTTTGCTTCATATGACATGATTTAACTCCATACTGCTACAGAGATACAATCATGCACTTTACAAAATAAAATGTGGCCTTAGCCTTCATGATTTTTGATAGATACAACTAAAATGTGTAACCCTGTTTCAGAGATCTGTTTCTGGAATTATATAAAGTTCAATATAAATTATAAAACATTCTCTATTTTTCAGCTTGTCAAAGATCTACAGTTCATTATCATAGGATTATAAAATTGATAATTAATCAGATTGAATCACCAACAATTTATAGATAATTAATAATATTAGTGTTAATAAATAAGCTGTTGTAGGGTTTATAGCAAATAACCTTGCAAGGAAAGTACACTTGTGGGCCAAATATTGCCATCACTTACCAGCTCTTCCTGAAGTTGGGAAATGAGTTCATCCCTCTCTTTCAGTTGCAGCTTCAGCATTGAGCATTCGTCTTTCATTATATCCTATAAAAACATCAAAGAGACGGAATAAGCTCAGCCCTTTCACTTTGCTCTTGATAAGGAAAGTCAGCTTCACACAGTGGGAGATAATTGCATCTGACTAATGAAACTGAAATTTCTTCCAGTGTGTGATATTTTAAATTAAAATAAATTTCCTCTAGTATGATATTTTTCATAATATATTCTAAGTTGAAAAACAAACAAGCTAATGTAGCCAAAGATGTTATTGTGCTATAAATGATGAGATAGATATATACATATAGATAGATAGATATACACGCAGGTTTTTCCCTTGTGTGAGTCTTTTTTTCTTTTGATATGCATTTGTCCATTTTGTTGCCTAAAATAGAAACCCGGGAGTCCTCCTAAATTCTTTCCTTCCATTCCTATGCATACATAATCAGTGGAATAAAAATAACTGTTCTCTAAAAGAGATACTTTACCTACCATTTGTTCCCCTAGTATAATTAAATATTCATTCTGAAACCAACGGCTGTGGTACAGTCTTTACCTTTAATGGCGTCCCTATAACATTTGTTCCTTTCACTAAAGCTATCTTTGGACAGTGAATCTTCTCTCTCTACACATACACTCAGCTACAGCCTCTATGTACAAAAACATCCAATCTATGCTCTCTATTACTCTGTGCTGGTAACTCTCAGATACAACTGCTTAATCTAGACCTATCTATTTTCCAAGCTTCAACCCATAACTGAAACTACTTTCTGAACATATACTCAGCCTTGTTCCATAGACATTCCAACTAAACCTTCATCTCAACGTCCTTTACCCCCACCCCCAAACTTCACTTCTACTATTTCTCCCATTATCTTCCTATTTCCTAAAATAATAACCAGGAAGCCATCCCATATTCTCAGCTCTTACTCTGAACCAAATCTTGTACTAAATTCTTTAATCTCTATTTCCTTGATATTTCTTGGATTCTCTATTCCTCATTGACTTAGTCTAGGAACTCACTGCTTCTTACCTGACTTGACTGCAATAGTCTCTAAACTGGTTTTCTCTATCACTTTCCCTGCCAGATATTTTCCTAAATGGGAATTAATATCATCACTTTTTAATTTAACAGCTAATCACACCTTCTTTTAGGAAAAAAAATAAAGTCAAAACTCTTTAGCATAGCATATAGTGCCTTTCGTTGTCTGCTACTTGCGTATTTCCAGAGCTTCAAAGTTTTTCATTTCCAACTTTCTTACAGCCTTTGCTCACTCCTACAGATCCTACATAACTGAAATGCAAAATGTTGTTTCACGTCTCCTTGCTTTATACATGCACATCTCTGGATTATATTGCATTCTACCCACTGCATCCCTCTATCCCCTACCATTTCTCATGCTCTAAGATGCATTTCAAGCATTACTCATTCCACTAGGGAGCTTTCCCTTGTTGGCTAAGTTAAGACATATTCCTTGAGGGTGAGGGCATGCTCCATAGCATCTAAATCATGCATTGTTTCATACAGTCCTAATACTCAAAGTGTTGTTTGTTTATTCTCCAGCCTCACTGGACTAGTGCCCTCCCCCCACCTGCCCCCTCCTCCCCCCCCCGACTTGAGTGGATAGACTACTTCATTAGCATATTATTAGAACTAAACATTGTAATTGACACATAAAATGCTCAAATCCATGTTTCCTTCCCATAAAATGACCAAACAGTAGAAATATTAGAATTTCCACTTTTTCTGAATCTGTTACCGTTATCTGAGCTGACAAGGAAGAAAATAGCTAATGGATTAGAGAAAACAGAATACTTGTTTATTCTGGTTCTCATGGTGTTAATAATTTCTAATTCCTCTATACTAAGCAATACAGAACACACAGTTTAATTTACTAATATCTCCTTTCATTTGCTGGCGACCAGCTTGACTGGGAGATACTAATTATCTCTGTCTATTCTCTTTTGTAGTCGTCTTATTTATTTCCTAAATCACGGGTTTACATGGATAGAGTTTATATGCATCGTTTTTAATATCAATGCAAAAGAAAAATTAGCAGACTTAAGAGGTAGGTAAGAGAGTAAAGATGTTTCTTAGAATCAGAGAGATCTAGGATCAAATCCTTGGTACTTCAGTTAACTAGCCCTGTGGTTCTGTGCTAGTTACTTAACTTCTTTGAGCCCCATGGACATTTCTGTGTAGGTTGATAACACCAGACTATAAACTACCTGATAACAAAAACTCTATTGTATTAGTACTTATATTCCCAAAGTCTTGCATAATATTTCACTTAAGAAAAAACATAATATTTATTATATTAATATTATTAATAACATAATATTTCCCTTCATTAAAAAAATGCTGACACAGGTTGGAGTCTCCAGGAAACAAATAATGAGGTGGAGTTAAGGGTGCCAAAGACTTATTGGAGAATAAATCCATGCGAAAAGAAAAGGGGAAGAATTAGAGTTGGGCAGTGGGACAGCTGGACCAAGAGTCATACCTGACAAATCCTCTGCCAGCCAAATGAGGAGCTCCAAAGCCAAGATCGCCTGTTAGAGGAATCCCTTGTTGCCGGAAGTGGGTAGGCTCTTATACCACTCCCTTTTCAGTCATTGGTTGGGGGCTGCCGCAAGAACTAGATCTCAGCTGCGGTTACTTTACTCATTGTCTCAGACCACCTAGAGATGAGACTGACTTCAGCTGGAGGCAGTGAGCTAACCACAGGACTTGCAGCTGGGCAGTCCTCTATTGAAAGGGGATCTGAGCCTCAGCCTGAATCTACTACAATTGTTTGTTGATTAATTATAAACGATACTGTAACCATGGGCCCATTTAGAGCCAGTTTGAACAGACCCCATCTCTTAACAACAAAGTGATTAAGGATTGTGTTTCAGAAAAACTGCAAAGTCACGTAGCCAGGGCATACACAAAAGAAGAAATCGTGACCTGAAATGATCTCAGAACCAAAGATCCTCCTTCTACAGAACCCAAGGATCAGGATGCGACCCGAACTTGAAAGCCAGACTCTTATCAGAAGTGAGGGGTCCCTCTTTCAGGAAGCTCCGGTGTTAAAATTTCTTCCGCACCTCATGCAAAACATTTAGAACCTCATCAAAAATGTTTAAAACCTTATCGTAAATACCTGAAGCCCACCAATCAAAACCTGTCCCACCAGTGTTTCCACGTGCCAGCCTGATCTCCCTAACCTCTTAAATTTTGTCCCAAATCCTGAATCAGGGAGACAGATCTGAGGGCACACGCCCCATCTCCCTGGAGATCGATCTTGCAGAATAAAAGCTGATTTCTCCCCTCAAAGGCTGGTGCCATAATTAATTGGCTTGTTTATGCGAATCAGGCAAAGAACCCCAGTTTTGTGCGGTAACAATACTTTTCTATATTAGCTAATTAATATTTTGTTGATTAGTTTAAAATGGAAGATTTGCCTATATTGTGGCTAATAGCAATTGTAAAGAAACTTGGTTTTCCAAAACCATGCTCACTTTACACAATTCTCTGATTTTACTCCTGGGGAACTTGTCCAAGAAGTACATAATCTCACAGCTTAAAATCAGGTAGGTGCTAATGTATCATTTACTTTTATTTATGGAATAACACATATTAAATATTTATCGTACGTCATCAGAAGCCAACTTATAAAAGCTTTCTCTATGAATGACTTTGAAATGAATCCTAGAGTTTTGTTTTTAGTTGTTATTTGTTCATGTGGTATTCACAGAAGTATCTGTCTAATACACAAAATGAAAGCCCTTGAACAATGCTTACTCTCAGATGAAGGCTGAGAGCAATATTCTCTCAACATTCTCATTATATTTGCAAAATTCTAGGATGTATTTGGAGGAATAATCTATTGAATTAGAAATCATATTGATGTGTAGAATTAACTGGATTTTAATATTCTTGGCTTTCAAAATAAGATTATTCCATTAACTTGTAGCCTAATGTAACCAATTTAACCTTATGCTTATTTAAATGCATTTTATTCATAGAAAGGAAAATATATAATTAATAATTATGACATCCTCTGTTTCTTATTCAAGTATAATTAATTTTTAGGACTAAAATTCAATTCTATTATTTCCTAATTCAATAATTATTCATAAATATGGAACTCATAGTATGGTAGATTAAAGATGGCTACAAATCCTTTGCTACTATTCCTATTGAAAGATGGAGTCTAAAGCTCTCTCCTTGGATCTGAGTTGGTCTTATAGACTTGCTTGACCAACAGAATACAATGGAAGCAACTCTGCATGACTTTCAGGGCTAGATCAGAAAAGGCCTCTCAGCTTCAGCAATTGACCTCTTAGAATGCTCCCTCTCAGGATACTTCCTTGCAGAAAGAACCCAGCAGCCACGCGGAGAAGAACAAGCCACACTGAGCTTCTTTTGACAGCCCCATATGAGCTGCCAGAGGGCACCCAGTATCAATTGCCAGCCACGAGAGTGAGGCCTCTTGCACATCTAGCCCAATGGAGCCTTCAGGTGACCAAAGCCCCAGCCAATATCTCACTATAACTGCCTGAGTTGAATTATTCCCAAATTCCTGACTTACAAAATTGTAAACAAAATAAAGTATAGTTTTAAGCCACTAGATTTTGGGATGATTTGTTATAGAGATCACCAGAACATATGGACAAACTCCAAATTATTATAATTCTATAATAATTATATAGTGTAAATTGTGTGATTTATGTAGTGTAATTTATGTAAATTAATGTAAATTACGTAAATTAGTGTAAATTATGATTCATTGTAGTTGTATAAAATTATATACAGCTAACTTCTAAAATAAAATATTTTGTGATTTAATTTATGATTTTTGTGATTTAAATTATATTATATTTACATAACTTCCAAATAACTCATTTCATGCATAAAAGGAATATTTACATTCTCATTGTATAACCTACTAGAGAATCAGAAATACAGATATAAAAATTCCTTACAAATTATCTTATTCTTGTACTTTTACTTTATAAATTTGAAAAGTTAGAGCCAGACACCCAGATTTGGTTAATTTGTC